GCCATCCCCCGGCTGCGTGCGTGCTCCGGGCAGCGAGGGGATGGTCCCCTGCACGGGGGAGGTGAGGGCAGGGGTGCAGACCACCGCCGCCGCTCCCTGGGATGCCGCAGACCCAAAGGTCCTTTGCAGTGGCAAAGCCGGTGGCTCTACCGGGCGCTGAGAGACGTGGCCGCGTGCTGAGGGCTTTGTATATTTTATTTCTTCTCTTGGTTGCTCAAATACTCCGACAAGTCCTGTCATCACAGGGGCACCGAGCAGGACCAAGGAGGGGGGGCTCAGAGGGCAGCACGGCGAAAGGCACCTGCCCCGGCTGCTGACCTGTCCCCGAGGAGCAGCGTGCTGACAATCTAAACTAACAGGGCTGTCAAACACACACACACACGCGTGTGCGGGGAGGTGTTGGTGCTGCTCATTGCAGGGGGAAGGGGTGAGCCGGGGGAGCTCGGGAGCTGCCGGGGCTCTCGGGGGTCCCCGCGTCCCAGCAAAGCCCAGGGTTCCTGGGTGCGTGGGTGTGGGTGTCTCTTTTTAGAAGCTTTTGCTGGGAAGGAGCTGGCTGAAAGCCAAGCCCCGGGAGCCGAGTGGTTTGCTCAAGCTGGGAAACTGCTGGTCCTCCTGCAGAGAGGGCTGGGGACCGGGCAGGCTGTGATGCTGCCCTGGCCGTGGGACGCATCCCTCTCCTCTCGCCCACGCTCCCAAGGCTGTCGCCCTTCCCAGCGGGAGGGGAATACAGCGAGCAACACCAAAAAATGCACATTTTGGGGGCGGACAGCACTGAGGAAGTTTGGGCATGACGCAACGCCTGGCAGGGCTTCCCTGCTCCACACCCTGCCAAGGGCTGCGGGTACCACGGCTCGGCCAGGGCATCTCCGCTCCGGCAAGCCCTGGGACCCCCAAAGGCTGGGGCTCTGCCGGGCGCCTCCCGCTTCACCCCTGACAGCAGGGGCGGGACGGGGCTGCCGGCGTCACTCTGGCAGGAGCCAAACCGAATCTAAATAGACTTTCCCTGAGTCACCGAAAGTCTGGCCAAGAAAGCGGGACGGGCAAACAGCATCACCCACGCAGCCGGACGGACGCCGGGCGTGCGAACCAGCGGCCAGGTAGCGGGCGCCGGCAAGCCCTGTGTGTGTAAATTCACACACGCGACGTGTGCTGGGGACCTGCCCTGGGGACCCAAGGGGCAGCTTTGGCCCCCAAAATATCTGCTCTGTGCCACTGGGCATGAGGGCTTGGCGCAGTTCAGCGCGCCTTCCACCATCACCCCGACTTCGTCGACGCTAGGAGGAGAACAGGGAGGGCTGGGGGTGTCTCATCTGCTGGGGGGGATGCTGAGTGTCACGGTGGGTTTTGCATCCTGCACCGAGCGGCTGCACCAGCATTTGGTGCAGGTTTTTTCTTTTCAGAAAAAGACCCCAGGAGCATTTTACGGCTCGAGTCGGACTGGCAGCGGCAGGAGCGTTT